GATAATAGTACTGTAAGTTTCCGCAGGATGTTATTGCATGTAGCTACTTTGTGCTTGGTGTTCACACAGTGTTTCCTAAATGTTAGAGTATGGTCTAAGATTATGCCGAGATATTTAGGGTGGGAACACTGTTCAAGCTCTTGGCCTTCCCAGGTAACCTTCAGTTTTCTGTTGGCTTCACAATTACATAGATGGAAAGCAGGGTAGTTATCTTTGTAATAGCTGGAGAGATCTTTCAGGGCATTAGTAAGTTGATTTGCAACTGTTTCAAAGTCTTTTGTTTGTGTTGTTAGGCACTCTTTGTGAGTGGTGGCAGTAGCTGATTGTTAGTAAAGATGTCAAACAAGGTTAGTGTAAGAACACTGCCTTGAAGTAGAGCATTATTTTGCCTCCTCCATCTACTTTTCCTGCCCTGAAACCCCACATAGAAGCTGTGGGAAAATCTGGATTTTTTTTTATACAGAGATCATTCTGTATACATAGAAGCATTTGCCACTGCCATAATTCTATTTGGGATTAAATCCTATTCACTTTTATGGAATTTACACCTGAATAAACATGCAGAGGAATAGGCTGTTCAATTAGTTCCATGTTTCATAGGCATCTTCTCACCCTGGTACTCTCCATGTGTGTGTAACTATGAGTCCCATCATCCCAGAGTTGGGATTTAGTTCATCGCATCAGGAAGGTGTCTGGGGAGGAAAGATCAGGATGTCAACTTTTATTGCAGGCATTATTGCTGAAGGGCAAATTTTCCTTGATGACAAAGAGATGCCCCTTCTGACACAATTAAAAAAAACTAGATCCTAAAGGGGACATGGCATCTAGCTGGGTGGATTTAAGGAGCAGCTTTTCTTAAGAGATCTTGAGATCTTGTAGCACTTTAGAGACTGTATCTGAGCAAGGATACTTTATGAATGCTGGTACTACCAACTTGTTTCCTACTGTTAGTCTCTAAAATGCTACAACATCTCTTTACATATTGATATCCCGGATTAGATCTTCGGACTCTTTCCAAAGGATTCCTATACACATCCCCCCCCCCCCCCCCCCCCCCACACACACACACACACTTCCACCATGCTCCAAATTTTGGGATTTTGAACTAGCCACACCATCGTGCTATTTCATAGGTTTTGAGTTGAGGTGGCAGAAAGCCAGACTGGCATTATAATGGTTTGAATGTTCAATTACAACTCTGGAAACCAGGGTTTGAGTCCATGGATTCCAGGAAAACTTATGATAGTTTGCCTAAGGTTTTCATAAGTCAGAAATGACTTGAAGGCACATAGCAAATGCAAAGCAAATGTAAGGAAAGACAAAAACCTATTGAAACCAACCAGAATCTGAGTACCAAGAAATGAACTTAAGCTCACTTGTCTTTGTATTACAATTAAAAGAGTGTTGAATTTTAATGTCTCTTGTTTTGTGGTGCTAGAAGCAGAAATAATTTTAATGATGTAAATTAGTATTTTCAGGGAAGTCACTTAAAGTTTTGATATTTCTCCCTGTGGGGGATCCTCAAACAGTGTGATCTGGTTTTTCATTCACCACCATTTAGCTCCAGAAGCCAATAACTGGGCAACTCAATATACGTAAAAGTTAGTAAGAGGACAGAGTGTCATTGTGGACTGTTGTTTGTACAGAAAACATTTATTTACACAACATTCATATCAAAAACCACCTTTCTCAAGGATGGCTCCAGTTAGTGGTTGTGCCTCGTGAGATTAGAAATCATTTTTATTTAAGCATTTTGTGCGAGAGCCAACCATCTCTTTCTCTCAGACCTCGAAAGATATTATTTACATTCTGTGATTCTTTTTTAAAAAATTATTATTTGCTACAAAAGCAACATTTAATAAGTCACAGGAAACAAAAAGAAAATGCCAGTGCATACAAAAATAGAGTTTCTAGAAAAATTCAAATATTAATGGGCAGAAATATACAGCTATAGGACACCAGGGCATTGAAAAATGTCCTTGTTCCTCTCCCGCACCCCATCTGATCCTTCCCATCCGATCAGTAAGGCAACGGATTTAACATGCAGCCACGCAACCATTGTCTACACATCGAAAGGAGAGACAAAATAAAAGGCACCAAGGACAGTTCCAACACAATTGCATGCACTCAGTATCTGAGCAGGTTATTTACAGTCTTCAAAAATAAGTTAATCTTCTCCTGTTGGTTCATGATTTGAACCTTCTTTTTCATTCTGAGAGAAGGCGGAGAACAGTGCACATCGGTTTGTAAAGAATAAACACAAAAAGAGAGGGGATGTGGGGAGGGAAGTAATAATCTAAATCTGGAATGTACCATGAATTTTATAGGACCAGTCATTGCCGGTTGCCTCTCTTCTCACTTCATCCTCATTGCGCTTCTATTATTTCTTGTGTCCAAATACAGGTTGATTATCCTTACACCCAAAATACTCCAAAATCTGACATTGTCCACATAGGTGGCTGAGATAGGGGCACCTTTGTTTTCTTGTGATTCAAATACACACAATTCGTTTCATACACAAAAACATTGCAATAAAATTACCTTCAGGCTAAGCATTTAAGGTGTACATGAAACATAAACAAATTGCATGTTAAGACTTGGGCCCCATCTCAAAGGTTATATACCTACAGTAGACTCTCAGTTAACTCAAGCAACCGGCAAAAAAATCATAGAATCATAGAGTTGGAAGAGACCTCGTGGGCCATCCAGTCCAACCCCCTACCAAGGAGCAGGAATAATTCAAAGAAATAATATGGTATTTTAAATTTCAAAAGGCTCTTTTTATAATGCAGTTAAAAAGAAGTAAAACTGTGTTACATTATGTTTGTTTTTAGTGGTCTTAATTTACTTTTCATGTCTGTACTTCAATATTAATATCAGGTCAATACAGAGTTTATAACATGGGTATAATATGAGTTAGGCCTATTTTTAATAGTAATTCTCAAGCAACCAGAAACTACATTTATCTGGCATCTACCAATCCTCACGGAGCCGCTTAACTGAAAGTCTACTGTATAGGCAAATGCAAGTATTCCAAAATATGTAGTTGAGTAGCTCTTATCCAAAAGAGATGCTCAACCTGTAGTTATACAGCCAGGGACCCCTTTGATGAATATCTGCAGCCCTTAACCAGAAGATACTCACCAGTAAACATGAGTTGGGGCCCATGGATCCCTTAAGTTGTGCTGGATATCGCTAGAGGGAAACAAGACTTAAGGCCCCGTTTAGATTGACCATTTCATGCCAGTATTGAAGAAGCTGGTTTGAAGTTACACAAGCAACACAGAGCACTGAGGGCTTTCTTTTGCGTGCTTTTGTGTATTGTCCTTGAGAGTCCCTTAGGGGGAGAAAGATATGATTTGAATAAAGAGATCGCAAACACACACACACACACAGGTATGAAGAAGATAGGTTCTGTAGGTTTGTTCTAAAGTTGAAATTGAATGGAAGTCAGAACAGGGACAATTTTTAAGTGTAATGCTATTCACCTATAGCTATCTATCTCATTGGATAGCGTAGCATAGGGAAGGGTGAATACCCTTATTGTTTTGCTTTTTTGTTTGTTTGTTTATTATTATTTTTTGCTTTCTCTGCCCTTATTCAGAAGATTTCATGCACTTTCAGTCCCTGTGATAATTGGAGTTTATAAAATGTGGCTAGTTGTGAAAACAAGATTGGGGATGGAGCTTCAGTGGAGATCCCTTTCCACCATGAAAACTCGCTCAGGAGTGATTTTTTTCTTCTGAGGAGCAGAGCCCTCTCACATCCAGTTGTCTTAGCCCTGTTCTTAACTAGTTGTTCGTAAGTTGGATGTTTGTAACTTGGGGACTGCCTCTATCTGTATGTAAGTTGGATGTTTGTAACTCAGAGACTGCCTGTATCTATTGATATGTACAGGATGTCAGTAAAGTCTCTTTACTATTACCACTAGCCACCTCCTGCCACGTATTGCTGTGGCCCAGTCTGGTGATCTGGAAAATAAAGTAATGAGAAAGTATTGGTTTCTAATGTATGTAATGTCTTTATCCTTGTGGATAAACAGTATTTCTTGCTGTTTCTTTGTCAGTGTTGATGTGGAGATTGGTTTGCCTACTCTGGGACATGCAACCAGGGGCGGCTCAACCCATTATGCAAAGTAAGCATTTGCAGTATAGTTGATTTTTCCCAGGGGCGCTCTTGAGGCACTCTTGGGGGAAAATAGACCTTGACATATGCGCGTTGTAGTTACTGGGATGTATAGTTCACCTAAAATCAAAGTGCATTCTGAACTCCACCAATGATGGAATTGAACCAAATATGGCACACAGAACTCCCATGATGAACAGAAAAAATATATATCAATAATTGGTTTGGGGGAGGGGGCAAAATACTGTTTGCTTACCCGTTGAAAATTACCTAGGGCCACCTCTGCATGCAACATATCATTGTCCTTCTTTAGGGGTCCCTTTCAAATCTATGATACTATATATCTGTGTGTGTGTGTGCATCATATCTATCTATATCTATGGCTGGATGGCTCTTTGTTGGGAGGGCTTTGATTACATTTTCTTGCCCTAGTGAAGGGAGTTGGACTGGATGGCCTTAAGTATTTTCTGTAGGTCATGGGGGTTCTGCGTGGGAAGTTTGCCCCAATTCTGTCGTTGGTGGGGTTCATAATGCTCTTTGACTGTATATATATACATCCCAGTAGCTACAACTCCCAAATGTCACCGTCTATTTTCCTCAAACTCCATCTGTGTTCATATTTGGGCCTATGGAATATTTGTGCCAAGTTTGGTCCAGATCCATCATTGTTTGAGTCCACAGTGCTCTCTGGATGTAGGTGAACTACAACTCCCAAACAAGGTCAATGCCCACCAAACCCTGTTGGTCATTGGAGTCCTGTATGCCATGTTTGGTTCAATTCCATCATTGATGGAATTCAGAATGCTCTTTGATTGTAGGTGAACTATAAATCCCAGCAACTACAACTCCCAAATGACAAAATCATTGGGTGTATCCTGTCCAAATTTGGTGTCAATTTGTCCAGTGGTTTTTGAGTTCTGTTAATCCCACAAACGAACATTACATTTTTATTTATATAGATTTCTCATTTAAAGTATCCTTAAATGATAAAGAGACTTTAAGGACACCCTGTGTGTGTGTATTGTGGACGTTCGTTGTCTGGCCAGGGCATGAAATGATCGGTGTAGACGGGGCCAAGGTCTCGATCCTTTATGGGCTCCCGACCTGGCCGGCTGCTGCGGTTTGGAGCGGCCTTCAATGGTCAGGGGCCAAGGCTCCAGAGCCTTGTCCTTCCTCCAAATCTGTTGTGTTGTTGTTAACCACCAAAGGCTTTAGGCAATGGGACGGGCCAAGCCAGGGGAACTCTAAAGTGCACTGGGCAGCCCTTGCCCCTCCTGCTGGGCGGGGGAACATGCCCCAGTCTGAACCCCCAAAGGAAGGCTCCTCGGATCAAGGCGCCCGGTTCCTGGTGGCGCAGGACGAGAGGGGCCCCGTCGAGGGAGGAGGGGGCGCGCTCATCCCGCTGGAAGAAGCGGCGGGCGCGGAGGCGGAGGCGGCGGCGGCGGCCTTGCGCTCCTTCTGCCGGAGGTGGATCTTGGTGTGCCGCTTGCGCTCGTCGGAGCGGGCGAACTTTCTGCCGCAGAAGTCGCAGGCGAAGGGCTTCTCCCCGGTGTGGGTGCGGATGTGGGTGGTGAGGTGGTCGCTGCGGCTGAAGTTGCGCATGCAGATGCGGCACTGGAAGGGCTTGTGGCCCGTGTGGATGCGGATGTGGCGGGTCAGCTCGTCCGAGCGGGAGAAGCGCCGGTCGCAGCCCTCGGCCGGGCAAGGATAAGGCCGCTCGTGGACCGGCGTCTTGCTGGGCCGGTTGGGGTACTTGCGGGGGCGGAGGATGGGCCGCAAGGGCAAGTGGGCCGGGCTGCCGTAAGCCCCCGCCGCCAAGCGCGAAGAAGCCGACGACGAGGAGGAGGAGAGGGGGGCGCTGTTCTCGCCCAGGCCGGCAGGGGGCGCGCCGAGCGTGAAGTTCCGAATGGTGGAGAGCGGCGTCAAGGGGGGCGCGCGCACGGCATCCAAGGCGCACGAGAAGGGCTTGCGCTCCGGGAAGTCGCACGGAGGGGGCGGCGGGGGCGGCGGCGGGAAGAAGCCCGAGTAGTCTTGCATCATGGGGAAGAGGCTTTCCGCAGGCCCCGTTTTGGGGGGTTGGTGGTAGGAGGGCGGCGGGGGCGGCGGCGGGGGCGGGAAATGCCCCGAGTGGCCGGGCAAGAAGGAGCCTTCCTGCGGCTGCTGGTGCGGGAGGTAGAGCTCCCCGCAGGACGAGTAAGGAGGGGGAGAGTAGAGGTGCTCCATTTCCGGGGGCGCCATGGTGCCGGGGGAGCCCGAGGAGGCGACGGAGGAGGAGGAAGAGGAGGAGGAGGATGTCGGAGCGGCAGCCAGCCCTTGCAAGAGCCCCGCGCTGACCAGGTTGAGGATGCCGTCGGCGGGGTAGGAGCCCATTGCGCCTGCGCCGCCGGGGTACTGGGCGTCGATGCAGAACTTGCCCATGTAGGCGAAGGGCTGAGCGGAAGCGGCGGTGGGGCGCGAGGCAGGGGTGAAGCCGGCGCATGCGTACTGCAGCTCCAGGGCCCGCTTTTCGCCCATCTCGGCGGCGTCGCTCAAGGCATCTGCGGGGAGAGGAAGCGGGGCGTCAGAGCAGCACCTGTGGAAGGAAGGGGCTGGTCTGGGGCGCCCTAGGGGGGTTGCACCCAACTCTAGGGTGTTAGGATCCCACTCTTTCTGCACCAAACACGTCCTTCTGGAGGATGGAGCCCCAAGTGGGAAGGGAACCACGTTATCCTCAGGCAGGCATGTAGCCGGGGGGGGGGGGGTTCAGCCCCCCCCCAAATTCTGATGGTGGTTCGCGAAAAGGCCTTACTGGTGCATTATTTAAACTTATGTTTATTCATATCATGATCTGATCACCCTACTCAATATATCCCATATGCATGGGGGTATTGGGGTAATGATACAAAAGGTTTGCTAGGCTAGACCCTCTTTCACTCAGACTCAGCCCCCCCCCCCCCCCGAAACTCAGCCCCCCCGAACCCCCCCTGAAAAAAATTCACACCCCCCCCGAAACGAAATCCTGGCTACGGGCCTGTCCACGGGTTCCACATTGGACCCCAGCCCTCTCCGCATCAATACTAATACAAAGAGATAGTACTGATGAGGAGGACGAGGGAAGCGGTGGAGGGTTTCTAGAGGGAAGGGTTGATGCCCCTCTTCTGTGTCTACACAACTCAACTATATATTTCTGTATACACACACACCACATACATATAAACACTGGGTTGTTTTAGGTTTTTCGGCCTATATGGCCATGTTCTAGTGGCATTCTCTCCTGACGTTTCGCCTGCATCTATGGCAAGCATCCTCACTACCTCAGCTCCAACAGACAAGAGTCCTTTGTCCCACCCTGGTCATTCCACAGATATATAAACCCGTTTTCCTAGTTCCAACAGACCTCACTACCTCTGAGGATGCTTGCCATAGATGCAGGCAAAACGTCAGGAGAAAATGCCTCTAGAACATGGCCGTATAGCCCGAAAAACCTACAACAACCCAGTGATTATTGCCATGAAAGCCTTTGACAATACAGATAAACATACTTGATGTCTTGGTTTTTAGACCTCTTCCTGAGGTTCCTTGGGGAAAGTCGCTTCTGGTGTGAGATAATTGGCCGTCTGCAAGGACGTTGTCCAGGGGACGCCGGGATGATTTGATGTTTTTATCATCCTTGTGGGAGGCTTCTCTCATGTTCCCGTATGAGGAGCTGGAGCTGATAGAGGGAGCTCATCCACCTCTCTCCGGATTCGAACCTGCGACCTGTCGGTCTGCAGTCCTGCCAGCACATAGGTTTTAACCCACTGCGCCACCGGGGGCTCCTTTGGGGAAAGTACATCGGATAGAGATAGGCATTCTCCTCTCTAGTTTCATAGGCTCCATCAACACTCCCATATAAAATCTAGGTGACTTGGTTTGAACTGGACTATATGGCAGTGTAGGCTCATATGACCCAATTCAAAGCAGTGGCTTATCTGCTTTGGTAACAAATCAGTAACACGGTTTTTGTTGTTGTTGCCTGGGGTATAAACCTCCTTTCCTAATTGGTTCTATCAGGTTTGTTCATAAAATCATAGAATCAAAGAGTTGGAAGAGACCTCATGGGCCATCCAGTCCAACCCCCTGCCAAGAAGCAGGAATATTGCATTCAAATCACCCCTGACAGATGGCCATCCAGCCTCTGTTTAAAAACCTCCAAAGAAGGAGCCTCCACCGCACTTCGGGGCAGAGAGTTCCACTGCTGAACGGCTCTCACAGTCAGGAAGTTCTTCCTCATGTTGAATTCAAATTCATAAGTTGGATTTGTATATAAATCAGAACAGGTGCATTTTTGAAGTGTAACTCCAGCCAATAACACTATGTCACGCGATTTTTGTTCTTGGATTCTAAATGCCCTTCCCAAATTAGTTCTATCAGTAAAAACATTGATTCAACTAACAAACAAACAAACAAACAAACAAAACACCTCTTTGTTTTTGTGGGGCATTCAGCAGCACATTTTGCTAGTCAATGAATATCTCACAGAGTCTCAAACAAGTCAACACAGTTTGTGGCAGCTACAAAAAAACTCCACAAAGTTTCTAGAGTATAACAACTACTTTCAAAAGGAAGGACCTCATAATGAAACAGGAAATAACACTTTCAGACCAGGAACAGTTTGTTTGCTTTTTTCAAATTTTGTTACATAGTGTATAATTTGGATTAGATGACAGTACAGATCCAGTCTCGGATATAGGCGGAATCTACACAGGCATATAAAAGCCAGACTATCTCCCTGAACTGGATTATATGGCAGTGTAGACTCCCATAATCCAATTCAAAGAATGATCTCCTTTGATAATCTGACACTCCTGATCTGTGACTGTAATAATAAGCAAATTCAAAATCTGGGTTACATGGCAGTGTAGCTCCATCCATAGTGAGGCTGCTTTTCTATGGGAGAGCAGATGTCAACTGGTAGGATTCCCTGGTGGCGCGGAGGGTTAAACCCCTGTGCCGGCAGGACTGAAGACCCACAGGTTGCTGGTTCGAATCCGGGGAGAGCGCGGATGAGCTCCCTCTGTCAGCTCCAGCTCCTCATGCGGGGACATGAGAGAAGCTTCCCACAAGGATGGTAAAACATGAAAACATCCTGGCGTCCCCTGGGCAACGTCCTTGCAGATGGCCAATTCTCTCACACCAGAAATGACTTGCAGTTTCTCAAGTCGCTCCTGACACAACAAAAAAAAACAACAACTGGTAGGTGGCACATGTATCTCAAAAGCTAGAGCTGATAGGGAGAAAGTGGGGCCCTTTGGGGGAATCGGTAGGTCAAATGCACCCAGAAACAGGGTTTTGAGGCAGGAAAGCGCACGAAAGGAAGCCCTGAGTGCCTTCAGTGGGTCAGTATAGAGATGTTCTGTCCCATTCCGGAGTGGAGTGGGCTGGCTCAGACCCCCACGATGGTGCCAATGGGACAAGGCTGGACCCCAACCTCCCCAAAGGAGCACCCGCACGCACACAGCCCGCCTTACCTCCCGTGGGGCCGCTCATGGGCTCCAGGGGCCCTCCTCCTCCTCCTCCTGCTAGCTCCCCATTGGGGAAGCTGATCACCGGCAGGTCCTCCACGGAGTAGAAGCCCTCGCAGGGCAAGTGGGGCACGAAGCCGCCGCTCAGACCCACAGGGAGCTTGTCCAGCGCCTTCGCCGTCATTCTCCGGGACCGTGGCCCCGCGTGGAAGTGGGCTGCAGGGCAGAGGGGGTCCCCTCCAGTATTGGAAAAAGCAGCGATACTTTTTTTAGTGGGGAATATTTATGGGGGGGGGGGGCAGGGAGACTATTAGCTCTAAGCGGCTCTGCTCCGAGACTGTTGTGCTGGACACACTCGGCGGCGCTTCTCGCCTCGATAGAAAAGTCTTGCTCTAAGTATTTATGGGGAGGCCGTGAATGCCCGCGACGTCACTGCCCATATAAGGACTTGAGGAACAGGGGGAAGGCCGCCCCGGCCACGGGAAAAGGCGTCGTCACAGAGGGGGAAATTTGCATGGCGGGCCCTGATTAGCTGGAATGTCTCCAAGGGCTGGGGGAGATTTGCATAGCGTGAAGGGGCGCGCGCCCCAGGGGGGTTGGATTTCCACCTCGCGACGGAAGGAGGGATTTTATTTTGTTTTATACCTACTTTTTATTTATGCACTATTTTATTATTTGTTTGTTTGTTTGTTTGTTTCAAGCCAGCCCTTCAGAGAGAAGGATATTCCGGTTGTCGAGCCTCCATGCCTAAAAAAGGCGAGCATCCGGCCCACCTCCTCGCCCTCCTCCCCTCCGCTTGCCTTTTTGGGAGTCCTTTCCGGAAACTTAGTCGGCGCGGATCAAGGGGGCCGGGCGCCAATCCAAACCCCCGCTTCCGCGCCTTGGGGACCGCGAGGCGGAGGGCCAATCAGAACGCAGCCGCGCTCGCCCAATCGGAATCCCTCCCTTTGCCTTTTCCGACCGACTTTCCTTTTCTGTCGGAGAGATGGAAACGCGGCCGCGGCGGGTGGAAAGTTTGCGCGGATCTAGCGAGTCGTGGAAACGGAATATTTGTTTCGCTTCAAATCCTTGCAGTTGCAGCAGACTCTCAGTTAACCGACACCCGCGAGGGTTGGCAGGTGCCCGATCCATGAGATTTCTCGTTGCTTGAGAGTTACTGTAAAAAATGTCTTGCTAATACTATTTATTTATTTATTTATTTATTTGGGGTTCTTTTACCCCGCCCTTCTCACCCCGAAGGGGACTCAGGGCGGCTTACAAAAGCAAGGCACAATTTGATGCCTGCATCATAAAAACAATCAAACACAAAATTACATCAATACACAGTTAACACCAAATATACATTTATCTTCCGAGCCCAATTTAAGGTGCAGGTGCTCACCTACAAAGCCCTGAACGGTTTGGGACCACCCTACCTACGTGACCGCATCTCCATCTATGAGCCCACACGCTCACTCCGGTCATCTGGAGAGACCCTGCTCGTGATCCCGCCTGCGTCGCAAGCGTGCTTGGTGGGGACGCGAGACAGAGCCTTTTCTGTAGTGGCCCCCCGACTTTGGAATGCCCTCCCGAAAGATCTTAGACAAGCCCCCACACTGGCAGTCTTCAGGAAGAACCTGAAAACCTGGCTGTTCCGATGTGCCTTTCCAGATTAGGAACCTCAACACCAAGTCCCAGATGCACTTTAGTAGAACCACGATCACTGCACACCGCACACTGCACTTATGTTATAACCTACCACAATATCAGCACTTTTAATCCTGTACCCACTACTCTGGCCGGCCCAGTTTTAATAACTGTCTGATGTATTGTTACTGTTTTGTTTACTTGCTTAACTGTTTTTAATTTGCTTTGTATTGTTTTGCTGTATTGTTATTCTGTGGCTTCGGCCTGTTGTAAGCCGCATCGAGTCCCTTGGGAGATGCTAGCGGGGTACAAATAAAGTTATAATAATAATAATAATAACCATAAAATCAATAAAATCAATAAAACCAATACAAACCCAATTTCTCCTCTTACATGGTCAGCGTTCGCTAACTCATAGATCTAGTTTTACGTTCCACTTCATCAATCCTGCTGGTCTTACTCGCCTGATTGTCTGATTTAATTGCCAGAGTGCCCAAAGGCCTGGTCCCATAACCACGTCTTCACCCTCCTCCTAAAGGCGAGGAGGGATGATGATGCCCTGATTTCCCCCGGGAGTGAGTTCCACAGGTGAGGGGCCACCACTGAGAAAGCCCTGCTCCTCGTCCCCACCAGCCTCACTTGTGACAGTGGTGGGGTCGATAGCAGGGCCTCCCCAGATGATCTCAGACTATACTATGCCATCATCTCTGCATTGGCTCGGTATTAATATCAAAGCACGGTAATCAAAGCAAATTTAACTTAATGTAACAGTCTTACTGTATAATTGAAATTATTGATTTTATTTCAATTATATATATATAAATAAAATGTAATTTTCGTTTGTGGGATTAACAGAATTTAAAAACCAGTGGGCCAATTGACACGAAATTTGGACAGCATACACCTAACAACCCAATGTATGTCCTTCACTAATATTTTTTTTTTATTTTGTCATTTGGGAGTTGTAGTTGCTGGGATTTATAATTCACCTATAGCCGGGGGGGGGGGGGGGGGGGCTTCAGCCCCCCCCCCCCCGAAATTTTCATGGTGGTTCGTGAAAAGGCCTTATTGGTGCATTATTTAAACTGTTATGTTTATTCATATCATGATCTGATCACCATACTCAATATATCCCATATGCATGGGGGTATTGGGGTAACTATACAAAAGGTTTGCTAGGCTAGACCCTCTTTCACTCAGACTCAGCCCCCCAAACTCAGCCCCCCCGAAACCCCCCCTGAAAAAAAATTCCCCCCCCCCCCCCCGAAACGAAATCCTGGCTACGGGCCTGGCTGTAGTTGATTACTTATAATCAAAGAACATTCAGAACTCCGTCAATAATAATAATAACCATAAAATCAATAAAATCAATAAAACCAAATACAAACCCAGTTTCTCCTCTTACATGGTCAGCATTCGCACACAAAACGTGGCACACAAAACGTGGCACACAAAACTCCCATGACCAACAGAAAACACTAGAAGGCAGGCCCGGAGCTAGGATTTTGATTCGGGGGGGGGGGGGGTGCTGAGTCTGAGTGAAAGGGTCTACCCTAGCAAACCTTTTGTATCGTTACCCCAATACCCCCATGCATATGAGATATATTGAGTATGGTGATCAGATCATGATATGAGTAAACATAACAGTTTAAATAATGTACCAGTAAGGCCTTTTCGCACCATGAGAATTTGGGGGGGGGGGCTGAAGCCCCCAAAGCCCCCCCCCTCAGCTACATGCCTGCTAGAAGGGTTTGGTGGCATTGACCTTGAGTTTGGGAATTGTAGTTCACCTACATCCAGAGAGCACTGTGGACTCAAACAATGATGGATCTGGACCAAACTTGGCACAAATATTCCATAGGCCCACATATGAACACAGATGGAGTTTGGAGGAAATAGACCATGACATTTGGGATTTGTAGTTACTGGGATTTATATAGTTCACCTACAATCAAAGAGCATTCTGAATCCCACAAACGACAATTGGGGCAAACTTCCCACACAGAACCCCCATGACCAACAGAAAAGGTCATTCAGTCCAACTCTCTTCACCAGGGCAAGAAAATGTAATCAGAGCCCTCCTGACAAAGAGCCATCCAGCCATAGATATAGATAGATAGATATGATTCACACACAGATGCGGCCTTAGGTAATTTTCAACTGTAAGCAAACAGTATTTTGGCGCCCTCCCCCCAACCAATCACTGATATATATTTTCTGTTCATCGTGGGAGTTTTGTGTGCCATATTTGGTTCAATTCCATCATTGGTGGAGTTCAGAATGCTCTTTGATTGTAGGTGTTATACATCCCAATAACTACAACTCGCATATGTCAAGGTCTATTTTCCCCCGAAAGCGCCTCAAGAGCACACCTGGGCAAAATCAACTATACTGCAAATGTTTACTTTGTGTAATGGGTTGAGCCGCCCCTGTACACACACACACACAGATATCGCATCATAGATATGAAAGGGACCCCTAAAGAAGGAGTATGATATGTTACATATTCCAGAGTAGACAAACCAGACAATCTCCACATCAACACTGAAAAAGAAACAACAAGAAATACTGTTTACCCACAAGCATCAAGAAATTACATAGATTAGAAACCAATGCTTTCTCATTACTTTATTTTCCAGATCACCAGACTGGGCCACAGCAACGCGTGGCAGGGGACAGCTAGTAAATATATATATATTTGATTTTATCTTTGTTTTTTTGCCGTTTGCTTTCGATTTCCGGTTAACTGAAAGTCTGCTGACTATTATTACACAATGTAGCAAAATGTGGAAAAAATATGTTCCTGGTTTGAAGGTGTTATTTCCTGTTTGATTGTACGGCACTTACTTGGAAAGTAGTTGTTCTACTCCAGAAGCTTCTTTTTTTGTGGCTGCCACAAACGACGTTGAATTGGTTGAGACTCCTCTCTTGAGATATTCCTTGGGGGGAAAAAAGGTAAAGGTTGTCCCCTGACATTACGTCCAGTCATGCTGCAAGTCGCTTCTGGTCGCTTCTGAAGTGAGAGAATCAGCAATCTACGGAGACATTGCCCAGGGGACACCCAGATGTCTTGCAATCCTGTGAGGAGACTACTCTCATGTCCCTAATCCATCTCAGGCTCAGTAAGCTCAGGCTCAGTAAGCTCAGGCTCAAAGTGAGCCACAACAGTATCAGCCAGCATGCCAACGACTTAAATCAAGAAATAGTTTTCTAAGATCTAAAGAGACACTCGCTGGAACACCCCAGCAAGCAAGAGTCCAAAAGTGGCAGGCTCAAACCCAGAACTTCAATCAATGGCTGATACTAAATGAGAGACTCCCCCCTGGGCACACAGAAAACTGGGCGACTTGGAAGGTGCTGCAGGATGTCCCACAAAAACAAACATTTTTGCAGTTGAATAAACTTTTTCCACATTTTATGATAGAACCAATTAGGAAGGGACACTTATAACCCAGAACAAAAACCGTGTGACATAGTGTAAGATGCAGAACGGCTCTTAGAATGTCTACTACTGTCCATTTAGTATAGTTTACTCTCAGTAGGAGAGAGGACAGGCCCCATCTATTTATATGCCAGTGTTTTGTTTCCCTCAGGCCCCATCTGCACTGCCATATAAATCCAGATTATCTGCTTTGAATTGGATTATATGGCAGTATAGATTCATATAATTCAGTGATATTTTATATTGTTTATTTTATGTGTTATTTTATATT